GTGGGATGTTGTGAGGGTCGTGTGCGCTTGTATCCACACTGTAGGGATTCTATGATCTATGAAATGTTCACTGGGCCAGCAATGCCCATGTTCTATGATTTAATACACAAAAGAGCTGTACAGGTCATAAATTGAGAGTCTGAACCGGACTCATCCAAGTTCAAAGACCCAGTAGAGATTACTGGTTAACTATTAGAAGCAGGAACCCAGGACAATCTCTTCCCAACCCACCTTCCCAAATGTATAAATGCTAAAACAAATTGTAATGGGCTAACACTGGCCCTGCCCAAAATCAGCTAAACTTGGTTCACTCCAGGGAGTAAACATGGCACATTGTAGCTTGTAGGAAGGTCGAGCACCTCACTGTTCTTGCATTTATTCAGGGACTCAGCGGGTCACTATGTAGACCATGCAGCCCAACTCAGTCTAAGGATGAGCTGCAACTCCCTGTTAGAATAAAATTAGTAGTCACACAACACCAGGTTATAGTCCAACAGGTCCATTTGAAATCACAAGCTTTCGGAGGTGAAGTGAGAGACAAGCACACAGAACACAGAATTTATGTGCAGAGAGGGATCAAAAGACTATACAAATGGGGTGATTGCTGTGCCAAATAATAAGGCCCTGCAGGTGATCCAAAGTGTTAGATGGTATGAGCAAAGTGTCAACAGCTGAATAACAAGTAAAAGGATGACCTATAATCCGATTAAATGAGGCAGAGAGATAATTAGACAAAAAAATTAAAAATAAAGGTGGTGCTGTAAACAAACTAAATGACTGGAGTAACATGGTAGGTAAAAGAGTCACATGTCGAGGGTCTAACCAAAAGTAATAAATAATCCAAAACTGTACAATCTAATTAAGGTCGAGAGGTCATAACAATTTATCAAGGTGATGGTGACAAAACAGGACAGTAAGGAAGATTTTACAGATACAGAACAGTGCGGCGAGGTCACATGTAGCTCGACATGAACCCAAGATCACGATTGAGGCCATCTTCATGGGTACGGAACTTGGTTATCAGTTTCTGCTCGGCAGTTCTGAATTGTTGTGTACATTGAGGGCCGCTTTGGAGGACACTTACCCAAAGATCAGAGGCTGAATGTCCTTGACTGCTGAAGTGTACCCCAACTGGGAGGGAACATTCCTGTTTGGCGATTGTTGCATGGTGTCCATTCATCCGTTGTCATAGCGTCTGCATGGTCTCGCCAATATACCGTGCCTCGGGGCATCCTTGCAGCGCACGAGATGGACAACATTGGCCGAATCACATGACTACCTGCCATGCACATGGTGGGAGGTGTTCCCACGTGTGATGGTAGTATCCATGTCGATGACCTGACATGTCTTGCAGAGGTTGCCATGGCAGGGTTGTGTGGTGTTGTGTTTGATGATCTGCTGAAGGCTGGGCAGATGGTCTGTTTAGGGTTTGGCGGTTGGTTGAAGGCTACGAAGAACATGGTGTAGTCTCTCTGCTCCGGGGAAGTACTGGACAATGAAGGGTACTCTATTGGTCATATCCTGGGTCTGTCTTCTGAGGAGGACGTTGCGGTTTCTCACTGTGGCACGTCAGAACTGGCGATGGAAGAGTTGAGCATCATATCCCATTCTTGTGAGGGCGTCCTTCAAAATCTTTAGGTGTCCATCGTGTTCTTCTTCATCAGAGCAGATCCTGTGTATGCGCAGGGCTTGTACATTGGAGATGGCTTCTTTAACATTATCCATGGGCTTGCAGTAGAGTGAGGTACTGGAGTATCCGTCCTTGGCGAAGATGCGTGTGTCCAAGAATGAGACGGATTCTGAAGAGTAGTCCAAGGTAAGTCTGATGGTGGGACGAAACTTGTTGTTATTGCTATGTAGTTGTTTCAGTGATTCCTCGCCATGAGTCCAAAGGGAGAAAATGTTGTCAATGTATCTGGTGTATAGCATTGGTCGGAGGTCCTGCACAGTGAAGAAGTCTGGCTCAAACTTGCGCATGAAAATGTTGGCATATTGGGGCTTGGTCCCCATAGCTGTTCCGTGTGTCTGGATAAAGAACTGGTTGTTGAATGTGAAGATGTTGTGATCGAGGATGAGGCGGATGAGTTGTAGGATGGTATCTGGAAATTGGCAGTTGTTGGTATTGAGTACTAAGGCTGTTGCAGCAATGTTGTCATCGTGGGGGATGCTGGTGTAGCGTGCTGAAACATGCATTATGACGAGGCATGTTCCTGGTTCAACTGGTCCGTGGGTGCTGAGTTTCAGTAAGAAATCTATAGTATTTTGACAGAAGCTGGGGGTACCTTGTACAATGGGTTTCAAGATGCCCTCGACATAGCCAGAGAGATCCTCACACAGGGTCCCATTGCCTGATACAGTGGGACATGCAGGTGTGTTGGCTTTGTGTACCTTCAGAAGGCAGTACAAGGCTCCCATGCGGGAAATATGCGAGATGAGAGCATAGGATGCTCTGAAGGTCTGGATCAAAGGTCTTGATCAGTCTGTTCAGTTGATGGGTGTGTTCTTTGATCAGATCGGCAGGTAGTTGTCTGTAGTGTTCCTGCTTGTTCAGCTGTCGGTAAGCTTCTTTGTAGTAGTCTGTTCTATTCTGTATGACAATGGCTCCTCCTTTGTCTGCCAGTTTGATGACAATGTTGCAATTGGTCTTGAGAGCACAGGTGGTGGCGTGTTGTGCCTGGGTGACATTCTGCACTATCATGTGAGCGCGCCTGGTGAATCTGGCGTTAATGCATCTCCTCACAGCTTCAGCATACACGTCGGGCCTAGGGCAGCAGCCTTCTGGAGGGGTCCAATTTGACTCTTTCTTCTTTCGTCGCTGCACCACGGATCTTTCTATCACCTGTTCCAGTTCGTTGGTTGTCTCAATGGGCTCGCTGCTGACATCTTGAGGTTTGTGGAAGAATTCCCGGAGCCTCATTCGATATCAACAAGTTTCATCCCATTATCAGACTTACCATTAGACTACTCTTCAAAAGTCAGTCTCATTCTTGGACGCACGCATCTCCATCAAGGACGGACACCTCAGTATCTCACTCTAGTGCAAGCCCACAGAGAGCCTCATGACGCTGCACTTCTCTAGCTTCCACCCTAAACATGTTAAAGAAACCATCATCCCCGATGGACAAGCTCTGCGCATACACGGGATCTGCTCTGACAAAGAGGAACGTGACGGACACCTACAGACGCTGAAGGATGCCCTCATAAGAATGAGATACGATGCTCAACTCATCGATCGCCAGTTCCGACATGCCACAGCAAAAAACTGTAATGTCCTCCTCAGAAAACAGACACCAGATACGACTGATAGAGTTGTCCAGTACTTCCCCGGAGCACAGAAAGTACACCACCTTCTTCACAGCCTTCAACATGTCATTGATGACCATGACATCTCGCCAAGATCATCCCTACGCCTCCGACTTCTCACCTTTAAACAACCACCAATCCTTAAATCAGACCATCGTTTGAAGCAAACTACCCAGCCTTCAGCAGAAAAATCGACCACAACACCACACAACCCTGCCACGGCAACCTCTGCAACATGTGTCAGATCATCGACATGGATACAACCATTACACACGGGAATACCAGCCACTACATTCACGGCAGATACTCGTGATTCGGCCAATGTTGTCTACTTCATATGCTGCAGGCAAGGATGCCCCGAGGCATGGTATATTGGTGAGACCATGCAGACGCTACGACAACAGACACTGACACAACAATCGCCAGACAGGAATGTTGCTTCCCAGTTGGGGAACACTTCAGCAGTCGAGGACATTCAGCTTCCGATCTTCGGGTAAGTGTTTGCTAAAGCAGCCTCTGACATACGCAACAATGTAGAATTGCTGAGCAGAAACTAATAACCAAGTTCCATACCCATGAAGATGGCCCCAGTCATGATCTTGGGTTCATGTCGCGCTATATGTGGCCCCACCACACTCTTCTGTATCTGTGAAATCTTCCTCACTATCTTGTTTTGTCACCATCGCCTGGATAAATTGTTATGATCTCTCTACCTTAATTAGTTTGTACAGTTTTGGATTACTTATTACTTTGGTTAGACCCTCGACATGCGACTCTTTTACCTATCATGTTATTCCAGTCATTTGGTTTGTCTACAGCACCACCTTATTTTTAATTTTTTTGTCTAATTATCTCTCTGCCTCAGTTAACCAGATTATAGGTCATCCTTTTGCTTGTTAATCAGCTGTTGTCACTTTATTCACACCATCTAACACTTTGGATCACCTACAGGGCCTTATTATTCAGCACTCCACTCAAACCATTTGTATGGTCTTTTGATCTCTCTGCCCTTGATCTCTCTCTGCCTCTAAATTCTAATGTTCTGTGCGCTTCTTTCTCACTTCACCTGAGGGTACACTCCGATAACTCATGATTTCAAATAAACCTGTTGGACTACAACCTGATGTTGTGTGACTTCTGACTTTGTCCACCCCAGGCCAACGCTGACACCTCCTCATCAGAATAAAATTGTCCTTGAGAAATACAGTAACAGTGGCAGAAAACATCAGCATGTTTACTCATTCCTGTTTTAAACTAATGCAGGGAATCACATCAATGGCACAAGTAAGTTCAAACAAATTAGTTGTTCCGAAAGCAGGTGCACAGCATCACAGGTTCAGTACCATGAACTCACTGATCTTAACAGAGGGAAATGGAAGCTTCAAGAGTTGACTTCAACATGGTTCCAAAGTCACCGAGATCCTAAGAAGATATTGTCTGTTGATTATAATTGACATAAGCTCACAAAATGAGAAAAATCTATCTGGAGAAGGAAACACACACTTACACTCTAACGCACGTCTCACGCTGTATACACACACACACACACACACACACAAACGTGTGTAAAAAGGTTTAGCTCAGCTCAACAAGTCTATGGGACTAGTTTTGAAACTCAGCCGGAATGAATAGACAAGTGCCAGCTAACGTGAATTCCAACAACTTCACTCCCGCAAACAGAAGCAACATTTACTCACTGCCTTTCAGTGCAGACGGCGTGACTTCGATTTCCCCTACGATGGGCTGAAAAGCCGCAAGTTGAGCAGCCAGCTCGCTCTCGAAGGTGTCAGGACTCTGCCTGTCCATCAGGCTGCCATTGGCCACTTCGTCTGCACGGTGTGTCTCTTGCTCTTCATACACAGCGACAAGCTGTGGGACAAGCAAACAAAAGGCTGAAGGACATTAGCATGCACATTAATGTTAACCCAACAATTTAAATTTACATAGCACTTCTAAGTGTTTAAGTTCAAAGTCCAGCAAGCTGACACATTTGATGGCCATCTCCAGGCCAATTTGTGCAGCTTCCAAACTGACTGCATGCAACTCCTGATTTCTTTCAGAACTAAATGCTTCCCGAGTAAGTAGCACGAAAAAAATGGAAGGATAGTCAGGAACTGACTTGATGTGTGTATTAAGGTTGTTCCTTTTATAATCATGTTGGTAGGGTCTGTCAGCAAATGAAGATACAGCTCTCACTTGAGGCTGAGAGTGAGTGAGAGCATAAGTGAGTGACAGCCAAATGTGTGATAGCCAAAGAGCAAGCAAGAGTAAGAGAAAAACGTAAAGCAATAGTATCAAAGAAGGGACCAGGGTAAGAGGTTGAGGGGGAGCAGAGGAAGTGGGAAAGGAGGATGTGTGGAAGAAGGTGAGAGGCAGTGGGGATGCAGAGAAGACAGTGGGAGAAAGAGTGAAAATGGGAAGAGAGGAGGGGAGAGATCTAGTAGATTGGAGAGAGTTGAGCATTTTGCAGTGCTGGTTCTCTGCTGGGGACGTGTAAATGAAGTGTCTTCAATTTGGTAGTTAACAGTTGAAGCTACATCCGCTTTTGGCCCAGTACAGGAGGGGGATGGGGAGGGATGGAACAAAGAGTGCAAGACTGAAAAAGAAGAAACAATCATACTTTAAATTACTTGTTGGGGGTCAGTTAGCGGAGTTGGCTGGATGGCTGGTTTGCAATACAGTGACACGAACACAGCATGGGTTCAATTCCCGCACCAGCTGCAGTTAACATGCACGTCTCGACTCCTCAATCTGACCCTTCACTAGAGTTCTGGTGGCCCTCAGGTTAAACCACCACCACCAGTCATCTCTTTCTAATGACAGAGCAGCCCTATGAGGGCATGGAAATTTCACCTTTACGTATAAATGACTTAAATCATAATATTTGGGTACAGAATTTAAAAAAACAATAGAATTTCCATCTGAACAGCCATCTGTATAAGCCCCATATCATTAGTACATACAAAAAAGCAGTTTGCCTCATGCTGCAACTACAGTAATCAGTTCTCCTTGGGTTGAACTCTGTCTGGAGGGAGAACACTACTGGGTTAATGCTTAAGGACTGTGGGAACAAACTTCATTCATGAGAAGCCCATCAAATAGTCAAAAGGTAAAAAAAAACAGTTCAAGAACCCTGAACTCTAACAGTGTTCACACAACAACCTATCCAGGTGTAATTTCAAAGCAATGTTCTGCCTGTTTTGTCCATGTTCATTTTAAATTCAATCTTTCCATGCTGCAGGATAATTTTCAATGTTGGGGTTTGACACTAAAATCTACCAAGGAGTTGCACAAGAATAGACCTCAAATCGATTCTTGCCCAGTTTCTCCCACCTTTTCTCTTTTCTCTTTCATTTCACAATAATTGTAGAGTGCAATTCATTTTTTTTTTTAACAAAAGAGCCATAATTGTATGTTCTTCATGAAGTACACTTTGATAGGTGATTTCCAAAACAGAACTCAAAAGATGATCAGAGATAGTAGGAACTGCTGATGCTGGAGAATCTGAGACAACAACGTGTAGAGCTGGTTGAACACAGCAGGCCAAGCAGCATCATAGGAGCAGGCAAGCCGACGTTTCGGGTCTAGACCCTTCTTCAAAAATGGGGGAGGGGAAGGG